ACTTTAACATACGAGGAAAACTGTGAAATCTTTAAAGAAGTCTTTAGATATATAAAAAAATCAAAAAGATTCCTTGTAGTATAATCAAATAAGATATGACTGAACATAAACATCGTGTCCACAGAATTTCATTTATTTTTTTTTCTTTATATTTGTATTATTTCCTATTTTTTCTTCTTTTTTTTTTTATTTATATTTTTTTTTTTTTTTTTTCCCCTCTTTTTCTCAATTCTCTATCCTTTTCCTTGTTAATTGCGATAGGCTTTTTTTTCTTTCTTTTTCTTCTCTGACTGTGCAAATGCCTCATTTTACTATTACCTTTAATATATATATACTGAACTGTGCATGCTCTGTATAATTGTTATTGTAATATTATGTAAAGGAGAAGACTTCATAAGTTGGTTAAACTTGTGTCCGATCCCTTTTGTATCTATGAGCAAATAAAATCGTTATAAACTATATGTTTTCACGCATTTTACGATCCAACTAATACGCAATACATGATTTTTACACTTTAAAAAGCTCATGTTTATTGTTAAATGTATATATATATGTACACTCCAAATAAAAATTAACTTAACTTACTTAAATATAGTAAATACTCCAAAAGAGCATTTTGTTTTTGCACCATGTGACAGAGTAGACTGACTTCACTGAAATATTCGAAACTGAGACCACAAATTCGAGTACTTGCATACCTACAACCTCTACTGAAGATAAGATTGTAAATGAACACACTTCAACAACGACTGAACAGAAAGCTGCTACTAAGAGCACCAAAAGGCTCCCACTATGTATTGGCTTCGTAAATTACTCAATAAATATTATAACTTTTGTTTTATATGTGAATCCAATAAGGTTCTACTACACATCTTTCGGTTCTTCTGAATAATGGTCTTCCAACTGCTGAAGAACTCTATACTAAATATTGTGACTAAGCATACGTTAATAGCTGTACTAACTATTCCTGGACGGTGTGAAAAATTATTTGGAAGTCTTGGAAAAATCACGATCTATTCAAGGTCAGTTTACCTCCGTCGACAGTTATGATTTATCTACCCTGTATACTGTGTACACTACCACACAAAATAATCAAAGAGAAATTCCATTAATGCAATGGACTTTCAAAATCGGGGTGTCACTATATCTGCTGCAGCTGTTACAATTCCATTTTCAGTAATAAAACATTTTAAAAATATTCGTAAAGGGTTCTGCAGAACCATGTGTCTCACCTGCGATTGCTGCTGTCAGTGTAAACGTGTAATGTTGACTTAAAAAGTTAGTTCATTTATCTGTAAAATACAGAATTAAAAAAAAATCCAACTTTTTCTTTAGTCTTGAGGATAAGCTTCTGTCCAGGTTTCATAACAATCCATGAACGTTAACAAATTTATCATGTTACAAACATTTAGTCTCATTAAATGTCTCAATACTTATAATTAGGTATTTCGCATCCACCTTTCTGTTGTAGTATTGATAATAAATCTATAAAAGTTAACAAATTGTCCTTCAAATCTTTCTCTTTGGCTTAATAGACGTATTGATAAAGGTTATTATTATACGGTTGTTGTTTAGTCACTGCATCTTGTTTTTTTTCAGGGGATAAACATCAATTCATTAAAATTTATTTCTTTTGTTTTTCTGTATAGTTTGTTTTTGACTCTGCACAAGATCATGTCTTCCTGTTCGTCCTGTTCATGTATTGCTGTATTAGTTCTATAATTAAATACTAGTGTAGGATGGAATGATTTCATAGTAACTGTGAACATTCTTTATCTAAATATCTATTATTATAGTTTGTACCATCATTTTAAGTTCAGGGCTGTTTCTGTACTTATTGTAATTGAGATTAACTAGAGGCTCTAAAGAGTGTCGCTCACCAACGTCTATATTGTGCATCTTCAACAATGGACACTCATCAACATTGTGGAGTAAAATAGAATTCCGATGACAAAAATCTTGTTTTGTTGTTGATCTTCTATTGCTGATAACTTTTTTCTGTTTACAATCTCTGTCTACCTTCTTATTAATTTTACTCAAAACACAAAAAAGGACAAAATATCGTCACTAAAAATAAGGGCAATCACTGCTATTGAGTCTACAAAGGATTTTGGCAAATTTTAATTTATTTGTTAATCTTGTCATGCTCACGGATCATTTTTGCTATTTAAAATGTTAATCTATCTTCTAAAGTTTTAAAGATAATAGTCATAGATGCAATAAATTTGTAAAAATTGTAATTAAAAAGCATAAGGTCTAATAAGGAGTTGACTTGACGATTTCAAACATGGTGACTTAGATCTTGTCTTGTTGATCATTTTTGCTATATAAAGTGTCTATCCATCCATCCATCTATCTATTATAGTTTTCAAGATAATAGGGAAAACACTAGAATGGGTAAAAATTGTCATTAACTCATTCGACCCCAAGAGATTTATGATAATAGTTAATACCTACAGCCCATACCAGTAACGTATTGGCCATCAAAAGACTCTCACCTACACCTGATTTTGGCTACTTTTCACGTTTTTCCGATTTTGAACTATAAAAAGGCCATTAAAGTTGCCATATTTTCATAAACACACATCTGAGAAGAGTTTATGGGCCATTAATTGCATGGTTGAAGTCCCTGCTGTCAAGACAGTTCTATAAAGGTATGGAGGGTCATACGGGCCATCAAAGAATGGTGGTCGCCATCACGACTACAGGCGGCATTGGGGGCGAAGGGGTTAAAAAACAATAACTCCAATAATGATTCGGCTGACAACTTCGGCCATGTTAACTTATTTGTAGATATTGTCTTGCTGATGATTTTTGCTATTAAAAGTTTTGGTTAAATTTGGCTAATAGTTTAAAAGATTTTTGTGAAAGTTAACAACGAAGACAACCCACTCCAAATGATGAGAATAGCTCACTTGTCCATCTGGGCCAGGTGAGCTTAATGGATGGAGGATTGATATCTAAATTCAAGAAGTGCATCTGTGCCTGTATCGCTCCCTTTTTTTAAAATTTTGCTTAATTAGGACTTTTATATGTACATACTATAGTGAGTACTGTATTGCTGATCATTTTGCTATTTACAGGTAAATCCAGAACGCTTCTGACGCTTGAAATTTATGTTTTACAGTAACTTGGTCGATACCTCTGCTGGTGGACTATCAGTCCCTGAGGATATCATCAGCTCAGTAGTCAGTACTTCGGTACTGACATGATTTATAACAAACCTTTCTAAAATTGTCCATCAATAAATTTCAAAATTACCTGAAATTAAGGTTTCAACTCCCTCAGGCAAAGTTGACCTTAGATGGATTTGGCTACTTTTTGTAGGTCCTTTTTGGTTATTTAGCTCTTCAACTGTTTCTGTATACACCCTTGGCTTTCAAATATTCAGCTTTTAGTGTTCCTGATGAAGGTAAATCTAGAAATGCGCTTCAGACGTATGAAATTTATAATGTGTTGTTTTCCTTTTTAACCTAGCTCCTATAGGTTTTTAGATAACAGCAAAAACAGTAAATATCAACTTTTCAGGGGCAATAACTTCAAAAAAGGGTTTTGAAACTTCCAGAGTAAATGGATCCTGTCATGCTGATCATTTTGCAGTTTACACTTTTAATCTAGCTCCTTTGGCTTTAAGATTACAACCAAAAACTGCAAAAATGGATATTTCAGGGGCAATATCTCCAAAATAGGCCAACACAATTCAAGGGTAGGTACATCTTGTTGTGCTGATTCCTTTTTGTAATTTACAATTTTAACCTAGCTTCTATAATGTTCAGGAAAACAGCCAATAACTGCTAGAATCGGGAAGAAATATAAGTTTTCAAGGTCATTAACTCCAAAACAAGTTGTTAGATTTTTCTCCAATTTTCAGGATGGATACCTCTCGTTATGCTGATCATTATTTCAATTTGCACTTTTAAGCTAGCTCCTATAGTTTTTGAAACAATGGCAAGGAAATGCAAAAAAAGTACCAACATTTCAGGAACATTGACTACAAAATTCAAAATTTTCATGGTAGATGGAACTTGTTGTGGTGACCATTTTTATCCTTTTCAATGTTGTTCTAATTGCTATAGCTTGAGAAATGTGGAGAATTTTGTGCAGTTAGCAACATTTTGTTTCTGCTTATTTGATTCACAACTTTTATGAGACTAATGACCATTTAGAGCTTGAAATATTGTATAGACACATGTCTATTGTTGAAGAATGTATGTTGTCCTCTATATGTCTTTAGGTTATTTTTGTCATTGGGTTGCTGCCACAGCAAATTCATCTTTGCTAACCAAGGGTTACGATCCAGTCCCCTCCTCTCCAGCCTTGGCAGATTAAGCCAACATTTGTGATTTCAATGCTGCCGGTAGATTAAAGTCACGCCCATTCTGACCACATCATTCTTGACCAATGGCAGCACTTGAACTTTCTTCAGTGTGGAGGTGTAAAAAATGGTTGTGTCTAGTGTTTACAAATTTTGTGAAGCATGAACCGAAAAATTACACTGACATTTCAACATTTGCGCGAGAAACATACCCAGGAGCTTCAATAAGTTGATTAAGAACTTTAAAATTGTCACTGAATATCGTCCTATGTTTTGGGGTAAAAACTTGTTGCGCAATCAGCACGTGGCAATTGTTTATTTACATTTTCTACATTTACACATGATTATCTTAAAGGTGCTTTTTTGATTGGATGCAGCCAGTTATAACTGCAACCAATGGAATTCATTACTCGTAGATCCGAAATTCTATCTTAATCCGCCAAGGGTGGAGAGGAGGGGACTAGATCGTAACCCTTGGCTAGCGAAGATGCAGCAAAGTATACCCAAAATATTTAATATAAGAAGAAGTCCATGTTTTCAGTAAAGGAAACCCAAAAAATCAGTCAGATCAAGCCGGTTTTAAGGAGTGGGATGTGGACGACAGAAGTGATCCCTATGTGTTGCTACAGCTTTGCCTCCATGCAACATAATAACAGGCAGCTACTTTAATAGATCTAAACAAACAAATACTGAAGCATTTATTCTGCTAATAGATTTATTTATATATCAAATAGTTTATGAAATAACACTATGAAAACCTTATTTCAATTTTGTCTTATTCATGCAAGTATCATTTAATAAGTACAACTAACAAAGTTTCTTTACAGTATTGAATTTTATGTTGTCATATTTGTAGATGTTTTTTTTTCTTCCTTTTATTGCAAATAGCTATCTGGTGATATAAAACATGGTCAACAGCTTTTCATTACTTTTAAATGAAACAGGGTTTCCAAACATGATATATATCACAATTTTTGATAACAACATGAACACATATATATTATAAGCAGTAATAATATAATATATTCTGCAATGAGTTTCAGAGTAACAATTAACATTATTTACATATAACAAGAAGATACAAACTTGTAACTATTACAAACCACTATGAGACATAAACAACAGGTAACAAGAGCTATAGATATGATCAATTGAAAAAAGGGGGGATATGATATTGATGTACACTAGGAATAAACTGATATTCAAGTGACCTTTCATTCTTGTTGTTCTTCATTTACGAGTAAATTATGTTAAATCATTTAAAGAAAGATCCTGATGGCTCATACTGTAAACATATGCAGACTTTAGAGATATTCCTAGATAATCACTTCTTTTTGAATACAATGGCTTATTTTGTTTATGAAGTAATATACTCATGAAATTAGGAAAAAATTTACATGTATCTAATTTGCAATTAGAAAATAGATAGTTTTTGATTGACACAACTTGAGTAGGCTTATTTTCCTTTTGTCACCATGTTGGAGGTCAACATGAACATATTTCTTCATAAATCAGCCAAATTCATCTTGTTATACGGACCCCTAGACCTTAGAAAAAAAAATCATTTAGTTAACCTCCAATGTGGTGGCCAAGGGAAATAACTCAAACTCAAACTCAAATTACATCATATTTTTACCTTTTTATTGTCTAGAAAGCGTTCTGCATGTAATTAGTATCTGGAATAAGTCATTTTAAAAGATCTGTGAATTTTCCTCCTATGTCAGAGTTTTTTTTTATGAATTTTCAGAGATACTGTACCTTCATCTAAATCTTTTTTAAAAATATTAATCTTTCTTCTCCAATACTTGAAATATTCAATAAATACAAAAATGTTTTGTGACAAGCATTTCAAATACTATTTGACTTTTTTCAGGAAAAGTATATCATATTAAAAGAAAGAAGTTCAGCAGTTTGAGAAAATTCATGAAATTAAAATCTTTTTAACAGAAATCTAATTCTAGTAACAAATGCATGTCTGTGATTTAGAAACTATATAAAAAAATAAGTGGTTATATGGGTGAAATAATCTAAAAGCAAACTACAATTGGCTATCTTGATAGGCAGACAGGGATCCTCATTTTTAATCCTGACATACAGCATAAAAGTATCACTTTGTAAAATAATGTAAGCATTCATTCAAGACATGTACTGGAATATTCAATACTGTGGAGTCATAACTATTCATGGGGTAATATTTTTGAGAATTTCATAGCTGTAGTTGAACAATAAATTCCCTGTAAGCTTGTAAGTAGAACTGGTTGAAACCACAGAATCAAGTAACCACACTATTTTCTTTAAATCACAAAAATTTGGAGCCAACATAAATAAATGAATCAACATTAATTATCAGCAATTTCTGATAAAAAAATCAATATTGGTGTTTGTAATTTCATCAAAGTCATGTTGGATGAATGATGATGAAACATCTATATAATTTTGAAGATAGACACTTTATTTGTGACTGTTAAAATGTTTAGTTCAAATTGGTATGGTGTTTCCAATATATTATTTTAACTAGTTAACAGACTATAGGTATAAGGTGATGCCATTCAGCAAAGTGAACAAAAATGAAATGATACAAAAGATATTTGAAGAATAATATTTGGTGAAATATGATAAAACTAAGGAAATTATTCAAAATAATGAAATAAGAACATGTCAACATGTATCTCACTGAAAAACAGAAAATTCCTTTTGAATATGAAAAAAAATCTGTGATAGAACAATACATGTATCACAAAGCAAACAGAACACCTACATTAATAGCACTTATTCCTGATATATCATCAATATATACAATACATTAAGCTAAAATACAATAATTCATTTTGTTTCCTTCTTTGATTTTAATTTTTTAAACTTGGAAATTACACACAAGACAGCAGTGTAAATATCTGTTGGGGGGTTCTATGATATAAAATTGTAAGTCTATATTTTACCTTTATTTCACTGCACCCTACTAAGGGGAAGTAATTCTTCAGCATTATTCATTAATGTAATCCTAATATCAATTTTTTTCTATATTTTTGCACACATTTTGCATTTTTTATACATAGATTTTAACTGTAACAAAGAAATGTCAAGAAACTAACAATAAATCAATCAGCAATTCAGAAACTTTTACAACAAGTTTTCTAATATAACAGCAGTGTGTTAATTTTAGTAGAGTTTCTAACATACATTCATAACATGCATTTGAGGTAAGTTGAAAGATTATGCTAACTGGCAAATCTCAAAATCATATTGCACTTTCTGATATGACATAACTTTAAAATAATATCAAAAAAAATATTTCAACACAGTAAAAATTTTCTTACAATACATTCTGACACACTTCGGACCTTTTCAAAATCTGAATGACTAAAGAGCTTTGATTTAAAGAATACAACAAAATTGTATAATAAAGCTAAAGCCTAAATATATCTAATTTATAATAAAATAAAAAAAAAGTGAAAAATGGCAGGCTAAATAATCTATATAAAGTTGATGTAGGATACTTGAAAATGGACTTGACTGGTAATCTACTTTCCCCTACGAATCATTTAAAATGTGTAATGAATGTACTTATAATATTACAATATTTTCTTTGTTTGTAATGAGATGATTTATAAATAAATGGGGAATGTGTCCATGGGCCACAGATGGTGCCCCCGCTTGCATATAACTTAATAAAGGGATATAACTCAAGAACTGTAAAGTGACGCTACCCAAATTTCATAACATTTGGTTGAGGCAAACTAAAGTTAGAGAATGGAAACGAAAAATTCAGCAATTTTTTCATTTGTAAAGGGGCATAACTCTAGAACGGTAAAAGTGACGCCACCAAAATTCAAACTTGATCTGTGTTTTGTGGTAACAAGTTTCATTACATTTGGTTGAGGCAAATTAAAGTTAGAGAATGGAAACCAATTTTGGGACGTACGTACAGACGGACAAGGGTAAAACTTAATGCCCCCTCCGCTACAATTACTTTTACTTGTGTTTTAGCAAAATAATTTATTCTTTTTGTATTTAAATCCAAAGTAAGGCCTTCAAAATTTGAATTAAGATTCAAAAATACTTACAGATAAAAACTTTTGAGGCCTTTTCCTTTACATAAATTGTATCAAGTCTTTTTTTTTTAAAATAATTCAGCATTTCTTATCTTAAAAACATAAAGGCAGTACAATAGGTTCATCATATCTAACACCAAAATATTTGGAATTGTTAATTAACAAGCTTAGTTCACAATTACTTACTTTAAAAACTAGTCAATGCCATATTTAATATCTGTTACCACTTATATCTTTACACAAATGTTCATGGAGAATATCAGAATTCCTGTACATAAGTTGCTGGAAATATACCAATGTTACCCCCACATTCTCCTTGCCACCAGCCATCTTGTTGTTTATCATACAAGTTTATAATATCTCCTGTAAAACATAACATTCAAATCAATTTGTCTCTCATTATAAAACGTTCCCCTTGAATCACAGCTCAACAAATTAAATTACTGACTCGTTTTCACTCAAAAAAAATTTGATACAAGAAGCTTTTGTGAGCAAGCTCACATACGCCCCCTAAAAATAGCTTATAACCTGATAGTATAGATTTTTCTGTTTTCTGCACAAATTTCAGTCTACTTTAAGTAACTATGTCCCTGATTGTTGACATAGTGGTATCAAAATCAATTTTACAGTTGGTTGATGGTCTGTAACATAATAAACATACTATAATCTAGACATCCTAAAGTCTTATTTTAAAATGGTAAAAAAGAAAATCTTTGACAAGTGATGGCAAAAGATCATACTTTGGTTAAGCCAGATAAGATTTCATATTCTTCACAAGTTTTTTTTTTAACTAATTGGCAATTTACTGCTGATAAACACCAATCTAAACTACTAACATATAAAGTGTCATACACAACATTTATTTGCTCAGGCTTATAACAAAATCAAAATCACTGACACCAATGAATTTTGATGAGTTTATGAAACTTGCTTTTTGAGCAGTTATCTTTCAAGCTCAGTTATATTATTAATTTGTGATTCAACCCTATCCATAAGACACACATTATCCCTATTATAAGGCCATATTTCCTCTGCCGTAGTGGTAGCTTTACAAGAAGTCAAACCCATACTGTATAAAGAAACTGTTAAGAAAAAAATAGTACATTTCAAAATAAAATGTTTAGTGAATGGAAGATATTATCATATTTATTTGTAATTTGTAATTTTTTACCTTCAGATATGGTCAACTCATCATGATGTGTAGCTTCATAATCATACAAGGCCTTACACTGTCCTATAGATTCTGTTTCAAACTCATCATCAGCTGAAGAAGATAAAATACATTTAAGGGGCATTAGCTTCCAACAAGACGAAAAAATAAAATATGATATTTTTTTTTAACATTGATAAAAGCGGAATATATCATTCTCTTTGAGAAAACTTTGCATGAAAATAAAGGAACAAGTAGGTGAGAAGAGTAGGAATATTCCTAGAAATGCTGCTTATCAGTTAAAGTATCATGTAAACTATAACATATTGTCAGTTAAAGTATCATGTAAACAATAACATATTGTCACTTAAAGTATCATGTAAACTGTAACATATTGTCCAGTTAAAGTATCATGTAAACCATAACATATTGTCAGTTAAAGTATCATGTACACTATAACATATTGTCAGTTAAAGTATCATGTACACTATAACATATTGTCAGTTAAGGTATCATGTACACTATAACATATTGTCAGTTAAAGTATCATGTAAACTATAACATATTGTCAGTTAAAGTATCATGTAAACAATAACATATTGTCAGTTAAAGTATCATGTAAACAATAACATATTGTCCAGTTAAAGTATCATGTAAACCATACCATATTGTCAGTTAAAGTATCATGTAAACCATAACATATTGTCAGTTAAAGTATCATGTAAACTATAACATATTGTCAGTTAAAGTATCATGTACACCATAACATATTGTCAGTTAAAGTATCATGTAAACTATAACATATTGTCCAGTTAAAGTATCATGTAAACTGTAACATATTGTCAGTTAAAGTATCATATAAACTATAACATATTGTCAGTTAAAGTATCATGTAAACCATCACATATTGTCCAGTTAAAGTATCATGTAAACCATAACATATTGTCAGTTAAAGTATCATGTAAACTATAACATATTGTCAGTTAAAGTATCATGTAAACCATAACATATTGTCAGTTAAAGTATCATGTAAACCATAACATATTGTCAGTTAAAGTATCATGTAAACCATAACATATTGTCAGTTAAAGTATCATGTACACTATAACATATTGTCAGTTAAAGTATCATGTAAACCATCACATATGTCATCTTCAACATGTTCAAATGGGATATAAAATTAACCAATATTTTATTTTATGACTTTTTTTCAAATATAACAAAGCTCTGTAAAAAATATCAATCTCATATTTTGCACCTACCAAAACCAGTTTCATTCTCATTGCCTTGACTAGCAAGGGTAGTAAGTGTAACCGATGTCACATCATAACCTGAATTCCCTTCATTGGCCAGGTTTGCTGGTAACCGTAATGTTGATACTGCTACTCCCTGTTAAAATCAATATAATTAAGATAGATATTACAATGTATCTTGGTAACTAAGTCACATATAAATTCAAATTAACCATTTATACAATTCAGTTTAAAATTCTATTGTACCATTTTTCAATCACAGTGTTATAAAAGAGTGTATGTCTTGTCTTGATATCTTTATGATAACTAAAACTATGTTTAAAGTCTGTAAAGTCAAGGTAATACTAAACATATCATATTTACATGGGGTCATTGCAAACATATACCAGGGACCCAATTGCAAAAATTGCATATAAACAAATGAACCATAAAATATCACCTATAAATTATTTTCGTGAGCACCAATTTTTCGTGGAAATTATTATTCATGGTTTTGCCAGTCTGCATATAATTGGAAGCCCATAGAAATTATCCCATGAATAGTGATGAATCCAATGTATGAGTTGCAAATCATATCTTTACCTCAGTAAAAAAAAATTGCATAAGAACTTTATTCTACAATTTCAATGTTATTTTTTACTTCTTTCATTTGAGTGACTTTTGATCAGTACTTGATTTCCAATACTATTCACTGACCATTGACTGATACTTATGTCAGACTTTTGACCAGCAATTGGATAGTTTTCTGAAATTTATGTCTGTTTACCAAATTTAGATAATCTATATTATTATTTGCTGTTGCAGAATAACAAACGTTCTAGATTTGATGTGAATCTGATTAGTGGACACAATTACACACAAATAATCAACCAAATTATATCCCTATTTATAGTGTACAACCAATGAATCTGTCAATACTCCTAAACATTCTGATTCTGACAGCAAACTTCTATAATAGTCAAATTGATTCTAATTCATGTTCAATGACCTACCTGTTTATCTCTAGTAGTTTCTATATACTGGGCAAATTTGTGTTCCATTTTCTGTTGTTTATCTAAGGTAGCAAAACTGTTGGCTAATTTAAAATGGCTGGCTTCTAAGAAATTCATCATATATGTAACCTATAAAATAAATTTCATAATTCAGATTTTTGACTCAAAAATAAATATTACCCGTTTCCTTCTGTCGAAGTTATAAAGAATAGTAATTTTAAAAAATAAAAGAATGTGTCCATAGGACACAGATGCCCCACTTATAAATATACAAGAGTCAATGTACTAATTAAAACCATTGACGTTTTGTTTTCTTTGACATTTGCTTCTGCAAGTTGTTATTAGAGATTGCCCCTGGGTTTGAGTGCTTTCATTGGTCAATAACAAACAGTAATGGGTTACTGGAGGAAGGTGAAAGTGACAGCACCAAAATTCACACTTCATTTGTGTTTGGTTGTAATAAGCATTGTGTATTAGTTTCATAACATTTGGTTGAAGCAAAGTAAGTTAAAGTGCTGAAACAGCAATTCAGCAATTCAAAAATGAACGTAACTCATTGGTGAAAGTGATGCCACCCAAATTTGAACTTGATGTGTGTTTGGTTGTAGTAAGCATTGTGTATAAGTTTCTTAACATTTGGTTCAAAAATTCAAAGTATTGGCAAACAGAAAGTAGGTATCTGACAGATTTTAGGAATTGCCTTGGTTTATATAAAGGTAGCAGACAAATTTTCAATGGATTTAATAGAACTACAACATGATTCAGGTTTTGTACTTGTTTTTAACATAGAATTAGTAAATAAGAGAGTTTCATACCTGCAGTAACCTCTGTTTGGTCTCAATTTGTGTTTCTGGGTCTGCAAAACCAGGTCTTTGGTTATATACTTCTACTAGTTTTTCTACACCTAAGAACATTCAAAATTATATTAAAATGTTTGTATGAATAGCTCACTGGCTAAGATGCATAGAAAGTTGAACTATATCTCTGAGTACAATTTATTAAACGCTATTACTTTGATAGAGGTTTAAGTCACAATGACTATTTGCCAAAAAATCCAGGATATTTCTAATTTCAAAATATGGTTTCAGCTACTAGTGGAAGAGCTTTGGTAATAAATACCTTATGCATTCTTTTTTCAAAAAGCAATTTAAATAACAAGTATGAATTTGTACAAAGGTATTAAATTATTGCTAAATTGTCAACAACACTGAAGTTAACTGTTATAACTTATATTGTTTGACTTATTCAATTAGATAAGTGTCTTCAGGACCAAAGATATCAAGAGTAATAATAAATACCCACCAATAATTTTAGAATTTAATTCTACATTAGCATTTAACTTTTGAAACCTGCTCAAGATTGACTATCAGGGATGTCTAGACATGATGTACAACAAACATAATGAATAGCAAAACTAGTTTAATAATTGCTTTTTTATTGACCTTTTATAGTACGCATTTTGTCTGCATTCCATTCTACATTACAAATTTACAAATGAAAACTCAAAATTACAAAAAATATTTATTGGGACTAAATCATACAGCAATATCATGTCTAAATAATGTTTCAAATATTAAGTAAATCTACCTGAATATGGCAAAAAATTTGATAAATAAGCATGTAAGTATGTTCTCTACCAGTTCTGATCACTTTTAACAAATATAGTTTTAAAGATTAGAATAAAAGAATTTATCACAATAAGATAAACCTAAATTTTTATTTCTTTCTTAGAACATGGTTGAGACCTACCATCAAGTAATTTCTTATTTGTATTTTTAGTTTTAACATTCAATTGCTTCATTTTGTTTCTCTTTATATTCTCAATAAAATGCCATAAATGTCCATACCTTCTCGCCCTTTTCTTTCTCTTTCTATTGATTGTCTTATAAATAATAAATAATTTTGTAATGAATTTTTTCGTCGTTCTGGTTTCATAGAAAATTGCATATCTTCTGCCTGAAAATATAAAAAAATGCCAAAATAAACATTTCAATACATGATATATTTCTTGACTTTTAAAATTATGTTGTGTATTCATATATTCCAAGGTTGACATATTGGCGATGATCTATAGTCACATCATATTTCTAAACAGGAAAGCTGTGTAAATAAATAGCTCGCCAAAATTAGTTGGTTTACAACATTTATAACACAAAACAATGCAACAAAATTCTCTCATGTGATTTGTAATGTACTTACCATGAGCAACCTGACAGGTGTCATATATGGAGCAGTTTCTGCTTACACTTATTGAGCACCATTTTTCACCACTGTTTTATGTGGGACTGGTGTTGCTGAATTCTTTAGTTTTGTAGACTTTTGTTTGTTATCTTTTGGTTTTTCATTGTTTGCCATGATTGTTTTAGTCTCTCTTTTACTATTGCATTTTGTTTCTCCCTTTTGTATCTTCTGCCATTTTTTTAAGCATCACATTTTGACCTATTTTTGCTAATATCTACATCATTTGGTCTCTGGTAGATATTAGTCTCATTGGCAATCGTATCACATCTCCTTATTTTATAAGAACAAAGGAAGAAAAAGTAATACAGGGCGGAGATCTTAGGTTGAATACATTTACTTACATAACAGTCAATTAATATCTGTTCTGAAGCTGCTACTCCCGATCCTTTCTTTTGCACTATTGTCCTCAGGTCTCCTTGTAAATCAACTGCCACCACAGCCTCATTTAGTCTATCACAACTCTGTATAAACAAAAAGATAAACAAATATTTTTTTTGATACTTGGAACTTTAATATTAATGTATTATAAATACACACTAATAAGCAGCTTATTATCTACAGACATGGGTATTTGGTTTTAACTTGTTCTCATAAAGTGTATATAAAATCTCAGAGATATTTGGTTTAATGGCTATCACATTGTACAGAAAAACTCAGGAAAATTTGGTTTATCTTGGTAATGGTTGAAGCATGTTCATTTACATTCCAATCAAAAGCAAATAAATGGGGAATGTGTCCATGGGACACAGATGATGCCCTCACTTGCATATAACGTTATAAAGGGACATAACTCAAGAACAGTAAAAGTGACATTACCCAAACTTGTACTTGATCTGAGTTTTGTAGTAATAAGCATTGTGTATAAGTTTCATAACATTTGGTTGAGGCAAACTAAAATAAGAGAACAGAAACAAAAAATTCAGCAATTTTTCCGTTTGTAAAGGAGCATAACTAGAACCGTAAAAGTGACACCACCAAAATTCAAACTTGATCTGTGTTGTTTGGTAATTAGCATTGTGTATAAGTTTCATAACATTTGGTTGAGGCAAACTAAAGTAAGAGAGCAGAAACGAAAAAATCAGCAATTTTTTCATTTGTAAAGGGGCATTACTCTAGAACGGTAAAAGTAACGCCACCAAAATTCAAACTTGATCTGTGTTTTGTGGTAATTAGCATTGTGTATAAGTTTCATAACATTTGGTTGAGGCAAACTAAAGTTAGAGAACGGAAACCAATTTTAGGACGTACAAACGTACAGTAGGGCAAGGGTAAAACTTAATGCCCCCCTCCGCTACAGCGGGGGCATAAAAATCAAGATTTGATATTAAAAAGAAATTCCATCCAAAATATAAAAGCTTTTGTGGTTCCTCCATCCCAGAATGAAAAATAACTTTCATAAATTTATTTGGAAAAACAGATCATACCTGAGTTATTTTTGGACCCATCACTGACATGTGACTGTTGTATTGGTTTAAATATTCTGACATCTTTGATATTCGATCCTCTTCTAAAGACTGGAGCTGGGCACTTCCCTAAAAACATATTTTTGTTAAATTCAGGAAAAAAAATTAATTTTGAAATAAACAATATAAACAAAAACTTCACATTCAGAGAGAGGGTCTTTGGTTGCTGTGATTTTCAAATTCATATAAGCTACTGCACCAAAGCAGAATCCAAATTCAACTATTTGCTGGATAAGTGTATAATGACCATTTCTTTAATGTATTTGTATTGGTGTGCTTATTTCTACTTTCTGCATTGCAAGTCTTATTTCATCATTAGAAATTTTTATTTCCTTTTAAAAACTTAATACTCCAATATTTCAAATACAATTCCAGTCTATTGTTATAACTTATCTTATGTATCTTTATATCTAGACGTTACCTTACATACATTTAAGTACCACCTCAGCCTTAGGTAATACACATTTTATATATTAAGCCATACCTCAGTCTGTTATAATACACAAAAAAAGAGAGTAAAATAACAAAAATTCATAAGGGTTCCGTGGAACCCAGTGTCTCGCCTACTTTTGCTGTTAATCGCAGGCTCAACAAAAATGAGGAAAAAAAATAATAACAATATTACTTTCGATACAATCTTTTGATTGTAAGAAGCTTCTGTCCCAATTTGGTAAAAATCCAGGATAGTTTATGAATCTAATAAATGTTTTAAATCTTTAACTGCAGACTGTATGTAATGTTAACTGGAAGAAAAACTAAGTCCATTTATAAGTAAAATACTGATAAACAGGTACAAAATTTTTAAAAATTGCCTTCAAGCTACTAGCTTTTGATCATAAACAAGCTTCTAACCAAGTTTGGTACAAATCCAGGATAGTTTAAGAAAGTTATTAAAATTTTAAAAACTTTAACCACAGAGTGAATGTAATGTTAACTGGCAGAAAAACTAAGTCCATTTATAAGTTAAATACGGAAAAAATGGAATTTTGTTTTTTACAAATTTACTTCTGGATACTATCTTATGATCATAAAAAAGCTTCTGTCCCAATTTGGTAGAAATCCAGGATAGTTTAAGAAAGTTATTAAAATTTTAAAAACTTTAACCACAGAGTAAATGTCATGTTAACTGGCAGAAAAACTAAGTCCATTTATAAGTAAAATACGGAAAAACAGGATTTTTTTTTTTACAAAATTTAATTCTGGATACTATCTTATGATCATAAACAAACTTCTGTCCAAGTTTGGTAGAAATCCAGGATAGTTTAAGAAAGTTATTAAAATTTCAAAAACTTTAACCACAGAGTGAATGTTATGTTAACTGGCAGAAAAACTAAGTCCATTTATAAGTAAAATATGGAAAAACTGGATTTTTTTTTTTTACAAAATTTAATTCTGGATACTATCTTATGATCATAAACAAGCTTCTGTCCAAGTTTGGTAGAAATCCAGGATAGTTTAAGAAAGTTATTAAAATTTCAAAAACTTTAACCACAGAGTGAATATTTGTGGACGCCGCCGCCGACGCCAACGGAATGTAGGATCGCTATGTCTCGCTTTTTCGACAAAAATATCGAACTCCATAGAAAATTCAAAATGGAAAGTCCTTTATCAAATGGCAAAATCAAAAGCTCAAACACATCAAACGAATGGAAAACAACTGTCATATTCCTGACTTGATACAGGCATTTCTTATGTAGAAAGTTGTGGACTAAACCTGGTTTTATAGCTAGCTAAATCTCTCAACTTATATTCATTTAAGACACACCTCAGTCCATTGAATTCCATGACTTATATACATTTAAGACCAAACTCTGTTGTAATACATGATTTGTATACATTTAAGACCAAACTCTGTTGTAATATATGATTTGTATACATTTAAAACCCACTATCATCTATTTTTATACACACCTTTAATACATTAGAGTCCCACTCTTGTCTTGCAGCTTCAGCTTTTTCACACAATTCACAGTAATCTTTGTCAGCTTTCTTTAAGGACTTACTGAACTGGTCACATTTCTTCTCCAGCTACAATTAAAAAACTCCCCATCATAACTATCCATTTAGTGTTAGTTGGAATATCTTTACGAACTCTTCAATAACTTTAACTTATGTTTACTTCTCATTACATAATTCAAGATAACACTGTGGTTGTTGGTAAATTTGTATCTGAGAAATGAACAAGGACCTAAAGCTTGACTTGAGAGTACAATGACATATTCTTAGATGCATTCGATTACTAAGAAATATGATTGTATGTATAAGTATATGATAACTGAGCATATTATCATGTTAATGTGGTATGAATATACTGTAAATTCAGAAATTATTGTATGAATTTATTATTTCAATTTTTGAAGAATGGACAAAAATGCAAAATTTATTATTGCGATTTCTGGAAAATCTGCATGTATACTCTTATTTGCTGAATATTTGGTGGAAAATCAGCAAATGCTAATTCAACAGTCCCTTTTTTTGACCAAGTCCAAAAACAAACCTATAAGCTTCTGCTCTCAAAGAGAGCATGCTACCATAATAGCAAGGAGGCAGTAACAGAAAAAGCAGGTAAAGATTTACTCAAGTTTGGAATATAAATCAGTGACTTATTTGGAAAAAGGTGTAGGTCTTTTATACTCCCCTAGATGTAATTGTATACTCCTCTAAATGTATACTTAAACTAGCTTACAGGTTATGTGACCTCAACAATACAAAAACGTAACCCTGCGTCAAGTTTTCTTCATTTAGGGTTACTATTCTGTTCAATTATTTGCAATGGAGTTACCCAGAAGTGAGTCCCACTAGGCTGACTTTAGGTATTTTAGATTCAGGAATACCAGTAACATATCACATAATTTCAATCAATTCAGGTGGAAATTTATTGACAAAAGAACTCAAGAAACTGTCAGTTTTTAGTAAATTCCAACACTTTATTTGGGTAAAGTTCAGACATACGAAAATACATATGTTTATCCTGAATTATAACATGAAATGAATTTCTCTGGGCATGAATACTGAATCTATTCATAATTGTCAATAAATTAGTTGCATGTGAATAAATGACATTGTATTCACTTTTGATCAATTGCAAGAAATCAGGCGAAAAAATTGTAACCCGAACAGGAATGTTACATTTTCATATATCTTGTGAATCATACCTTAATTTTATCTTTGTCTGAGTGTTTTTTATTTCCTGCTTTAGATTCATTTTTGGATTCTTCTCCTTTTTCATAATCTTTTGCACATGCATATGCAGATTTCTTTGCCTATATAAATAGATTAATACATAAATAAAGTTACATTTTTCGTGCTTATGAAATGTTTCATACATAAGCATATACTTTTCCTAGGAAAGCATGTGATATTGCTGGGAATTTGTTTGGTCAAAGCATGTGATATTGCTGGGAATTTGTTTGGTCAAAGCATGTGATATTGCTGGGAATTTGTTTGGTCAAAAGCTTTAATTTGACTTTGTCTTTGTATACTCCATACACCTGTTTTGCTGTTTATGATTTGTCTCCTCCATGTATTGTTCTCTAGATCCTCATCTAATACTCCCTTTCTACTGTAATGTGAGAAACTCAAAATCTAGTACTATACAGTTGGAAAGACATCCTTTTGACCCCCCCCCCCTTTTTATTGACAGAATAAGCATAGACTTATTACATGAAAGGAGTTCAAAAAGTTCAATACATATGGTTCCTCCTTAATCGTATACTGTAAATTCAGAAATTATTGCGTGTATTTATTATTGCGATTTTTGAAGAATTACCAAAAATGCGAGTTTAATTATTGCGATGATAGGAAAAGCTACATACATATGTATGTGTTTGATATAAGAATGCGAGTTCTTATTATTGCGATACTCAAGAAGTCGCATTATTCGCATTAATAAAAACCTCGCAATAATTTCTGAATTTACAGTAGTATGTATTTCCAATATTGTAAAAGATTTTATGCAAAGATACTTCTATCTTGGATACAGACTGTCAGCAAACTCTAGCACAAAACACAAACTTTGAACAAGTTCTGTCTGAAAATTTCTATTATCTTATGAACTAACAGTAAACATGTATAGTGATTCTCTATTTTATAATTCATGTTTATTCTTTGGAGACTGTTTTTTTTTAAATCTGAGCATTATATTGATAACAATATCTGTAATATAACTTACTCTATATTCTTCTGTCCTTCTATCTGTTAGATTCTTTAAACTTTTATCAACAGCTACCTCAATCTGCAAACACAAATAACAACACAATTAAGACCGAATGATCACTTACTGGTTACTGAACGTCTTCAACAAGTAGGAGGCAATATTTGTATACTTTACAAATAAATCAAAAAATTTACCTTAAAACCTTTTTTTTTTTCATTAGTTCACTGATTTTCAGGATAAATTCTTAAATTACATCAATTAAAAAAATATGGACTGAACTTAATGTAAATTTATTCATGAAAACTGGTAGTAGAGTATATATGAATACCAAATGAACGGTATCTTCTTTTAATAACTGAAATCAAACAACTTTATATCTATCTACAGGCAATAAGTGATACATCACAAAGTAATAATTATTTTATCACTGGTCATAATTATGTTAAACAATTTACCGAACACTTGGGGACATGAACTTTGATCTCTTTATTATTAGATATTTGTATCATTATTGTGCTATAGATACTATAAATAGCACAGGTCAAGGTATTAGTGCTGCTTTATATGGACATTATAATGTCCTGTCAAGGTGGTGCAAAACAATATGGTGTTTTTTCAAATTGTAAGTAATGTCAACCTAATCTATGTTTTATTTAACAATAAACTCACAGGTTTTCTGGCTTTAATCTGTGCTTCTACCAAGAGTTTTAAAGGTTTACTTATTTCTTCAACAAACGCTACTGCTAGATTTCTGAAATAAGAGGGTATCATATGTCAAAGAACACATTCTTCTTTGTAGATACACTATCTAATTGTACTAAACCACCATTAAGGAAGTTTTAAATTCCAACAGGTAATCTTTAAACACTTAGGATGAAAAGGTGTTCATGTTGAATATGACATTATCCCTGCTTTGTCTCAAATTCAGATGCTGAACCTAACTTTTAACATATCAGCAAACAAGATAACAGTGAAGCAACCCATGCCATCCCCCTCAGATACATAATTCTGACTATGAATCAACTAGCCTTTGCTCCTACTCCTCGGGAATAAAAGAAACTATGAAGACTAAAATTCAACTGTGCTTTTAATTTTAATTTTTCCATTAGCCCAAAGTTACCTAAGCATTTAGTCTATAAGTGTGTGTGTAGGTCAAAATCATCCGGTGCTAATAACAAACATATGGTCCTTTCATGTAGCATTAAACAAAACACCTTTGTATAAAAGAATTAGAAATTATGAACCATTTTAGACATACATAAATTAATGATTTTATCAGAGAAACAAAGCTTTTGTCAATTCATTGCATGCTCATATAAAACTTCAGCTTACATTTCAAAAGCAAAATCAATAATTTTGATGTTTCTTGTCTTTATACCACCATGGTAATTATTTCAAGAATTCAATGACCAAAATTTAATTTTTTTTACAAGTTATCACATATTTGACACAATTTGATTTTTCAAATTAATTTTCAAGTTGAAATTGTAGCAGTATTTTACAGGTATATTGCCAGTGTATCTATTGCCAAATGTGTACCAAAAAGAACTTAAGCAACAAAGAGTACACAATGGCATATGGGAATGAAAAAGGATACTGTTACTATTTTTCTGAGTGGGAAAACTAGTGTCTGTTACTGAGAGTGGTATGGTCTGTATGGCCTGTTCCCAGTATGGCGAACAAGGTCAATTACCTTCTGGCTAATGATGTTACAATTGCCAATATAATTAAGCAAGAGAAATCAAAGACTCATTGTAAACATGGTCTTTTTGTTAATTGTTTTTGCTTTTTTATCGATCTCATAAGTTATGTCCCATTCAACTGATTTTTATCGTTTGGTGTTATGTTGTGCTGTTCCACCACTGTCCCAGGTTAGGGGAGGGTTTGGTGCCCGCAAAATATGTCTATCCCTACCACATTCTGTATGTGCCTGTACAAAGTCAGGAGCCTGTAATTCAGTGGATGATGTTTGTTGCTGTATATCATTTTTTTTTCATTCATTATTTTGTACATAAATTAGGGCTATTAGTTTTTTCCTTTGAATTGTTTTATATTTTGTCATTTTAGGGCCTTTGAAAGCTTGCTATGTGGGATGTGATTTGCTAATAGTTGAAAGCTGTACATTCCTTTAGTTGGTAACTTCTATGTCATTTGGGCTCTGGTGGAGAGTTGTCTTATTGGCAATCACTACATCTTCTAATTTTTATAAAGCCAATGAATATGGATAGTATAGGCAAGTTGGACAAAATGTTTTATGTTTTATACCTATCAACAGTCATGCAATGGCTTTTTGAACATTATTATGTGTTGATAAATTTAGGATAGATGTTTGTCATATAAATTTCTTTACACTACGACATTTCTGGCTTTCTTCATCTTCAGGGTATTGCCTTCTTCTAAGAACATGTCAACTAAATTAACATTAGAATGTAATGTATCTATATCTGATATGACATTTAGATTCTTACAACCTGGGCCCTTAGATATTATATGTTAGAGCCAAGTTAACTACTAAGCTTTAAGTTGCAATTTCCATCCCTACTCATTAGTTTCAAATGGATTGCAAAAGAAGAAGCAACTTGTGATAGTAATTTTAATCACTTTGATTTGAAAATGCCAGTGATAAAAACCTGTTTTCTCTGGCACTAAACACAAATTTGAAACCATGAAACCAACGAGGCTGTTCGGGAGTGAGTATCAAAAAATTAAATTTTTACTTGTCATTTATATTAGTAAATCTGGTTTTTTAATGTTCTGTTTACTGGGTTATTTTCCTGCTGTCTTTTCTTGCCGATTTGCTACCTGAATTTAAATTAACACAGCTTTAAATTTACGATTTCCTGGTGGTGTTTATTTATGTACAGTCTTAGTCCTATGAATCTAGTTCAAGTGAAATATTTGAAGTAGTATCATTTTCCTGTATCAACTCCTACCACGAAAATAAGAGAATATTTCCATGTTTACAGTAACAAATTTTGACAATAAGTCTGTTTTCTTTTTAAACGCAGGTTAACTAAATTATTATTATATATAACTATATTAACTAAATATTGAAATACATGGTCAGTTTATTTTGCTACTGCTAATTATTCTTTTTTAGTACAATGATTTCTAAGTCTGTACAGTTTGATTTAAGAAAACACAATACTCCATAAAGTTCTTTAAATCTTTGAAGACTGTAACAAACTTAGAAACTTTTTGATTGATCTGAGTTTTGTTCTCAATTGAACTGATAACTGACACTGTGATTTACAAACTATATGATACTCTAATATACATGTGTTTCTTTGTCTGACAACTTACTTATGGAGATCTGACTCCTGTTCCATCATAGTAGCTACAGCCTTCCATCCTTCTGCTAATGTTCTAAAAAAAAAAACACAGTACAAACTTAGTATATAAATCAAGTCTGGATAAATTTCTGTATTTATGCCAGAGTTTGTAATTTTTCAACTGTTGCTAATAATATTTCTTCAAAAACTATTAACCCAACACAATTTACCTAATTAACAGGATAAAAGACTTCAACTCTATATTTTTTTGATAAAAAGATATTTACATATCAATGGTCATTCTCAACACAGATGTTTACATTGATCTTGATATTAGCACTCACAACATACTTTAACCCTGACAAGTCTTTATTTGTTTGTCCTATTCAGAAAAACTCCCTTGCCTTTGGTTTTGGCATCAGAACTTTGGTATAAATGTGATCTGAATTCCTTCATAACTTTTCTGCACTTGGCAATTTCTAGCGTACAATAGGACAATGTAGAAGGTTGTTGATTTAAGAATACCATGTGCTTAGTTGTGACCACTAGATGTCAATTTTGGTAAAATTATATTCTTTTGTTGCTATTTCATTAGCATAAATTTACTTGACATTTTCATTTACTTAAATGTGATTCATACATAATCAAAATTAGTATATATTTTAGTAATTAGCTTACTGAACAGGGCTCAACTGGAGTATACAGATATGTAATTTTTTTAATATGTATTCATACATTAATAATAAAATTAATACACATTTTTCTTATGTTTATATTTAAATTACAATTATATTTTTATATCATACTGAAAATACTAGAAATCTGATTTTTTTGGTATCGTTCTCATTTCCCCGCATCTTTCACATGTTTTAAATCACAAATGAAACTATAGTAATTTAACCCCCATTTTTAATCATATACCAATAAGATACTTGATATGGATACACTACATATTTTCAGTGTGCCAGAAAAGTTAGTAGTTTCTTTAAGTACGGTAAAAACATATTGATTAAACAGTTTAAAGGCAATAAGACACCATATCTATATACTAAATATAGTAGTTTCTTAAAGTAAAAATACATTGATTAAACTGTTAAAAAGGCAATAAGACACCATATCTGTGTACTAAAATATAAACTTTTATATCAGAAATTTGCTTTTTAATTGGAATTCAATACATCAACTACAATAAAATGTACTATGTATTCAGGGTGTTTTGGCTGAATGCCCCAACAGCTGTTTATATCTTTCATAGGTATATATAATGATTACTAACCTTATTTTTATCTTGAAGTGTAACAGTTTCGTCTACAAATTTACTTTCTAATTCTTTTTTAAAAATATGATTATATTTGATATACAAAGCATCTTTATATATGTAATTTGTACTTTTGTACACTTTTTCAAATAAATCTCTACAACTCTAATAACTCTATCCACTGTAGTATACTTACCCAATGTTATTAGAAGTAACTTTTAACAATTTTCCACTCAATCTCTGCAGATTTTTTGCATAATTACTTTCTAAATCAGATCTGAAATAATTAAGAAATGATGCTTAACATCTGAAACTGTTTTCTGCTGAAGGGTATATTTATAGGAATGCATTAATTGATTAATGAGTGCCTTTCATTTCATGGGTAAAATACTTTCTCTAACAGACACTAAAATCTTGGCCTGTTATTTCATAGTGCATTTCTTTTAGACAATAAATTCAAATTAAAAAAAATCGCACCTGCTCTATCTAAAAAAGATTTTTACAGTGTAGTGTACTACTTTTGGGACAAATAATATCAAAATTATAGAAAAGTCTACCAGCTCTAACTCAAAATATGGACAATTCTATGTTAAGGGGGTCTATAATTCAGTTTGACTGTAAGCTTCAGGCATACTAATTTTTGACCTTTTTTAAATGGACCAAATTACTACTTTAAATAAAAATTCATCACCCAATTTTTTGTAACATGTAATTTCATCCCCCTACTTTTAAAATATTTCATGCATAAAATAAATAAATTTGGAAATTTTATGAAAAAAATTTCCATGTTATACACTGTCCACCCTAGGGACTATATTTGTAGACAATGAAAATCAAAGGACGATAACTGTGTCCTCGGACCTATTAATATAAACAAATTCATTGCTGTTTGACAAATATTTCCTTTTGCATGTTTTGTTTATACTAATAGTCATAACAGTCTTAATTTAGTATATACATTTTTTCATTAAATTTCTATAAATATCATTATTCTAGCTTTTGCTAAAAACTGTACATGTTGTATCCTGTGAAAAACAAGATGTATTTTCTATCATTTTTTCTTATATCATACAACTTATTTTCAAAGTAAATATAAATTAAAAATATAAAGAAAACAGCAATATACACTGCCATTTTTTTTAAATGAATATGGAAGTGGGTATAATTTACTTTCTATGTACATCTAAAGCTGACTTTACATTGATCAAAACCAGTCAAGCTTTACTAAGGAGTTTGATTTCATAACCTTCTTGAAAATGGGAATTTTAATTTATATAAAAGTATACTATAGTAGACATTCAAATTCATGCACTTTCCCATACATTTCCTATGTCACAACGCTTATTTTATTAGGTCACAGTAAGAAACATTTGTTTAATGATGTCATTAATTAAAGAAACAACAGACACAGCTTCTTCTGCCTCATTTTTAGACTTATACCTCGAATTTGACAAGAGCGGTCATCTTAGTACCATAATCTATGACAAATGAGACGATTTTAATTTTGATATTATCAATTTCTCCCACCGTAGTAGCAATATACCAACTTCACCTGCATATGGGGTATACATTTCCCAACTCATTTGGTATTCAAGAGCTTGCAGCTGCTACACAAACTTTATAAAACGTCACCAGTGTCTGAGCAGAAAGTTGATGAAAGAACGTCTCGTCCTTTTTCTAAAAAAAATTTCATCGGAAGATACCAAGACCTTGTTGATAAATATTCCGTATCAACTTCACAAATAATACATGATGGTCTTGAAGTATAGATTCTAGGTACTGAAGTTGTTTATCATCTTAATTACATGTTATAGTGTTCTTTTATTTGTTTTTGTAAATTATTAACCTTTACTGTTTAGTCCATTTTTGGTAATATCCTTTTGGCGTGGCTCGGTACATATGCATCCCTCCAATGTGTTGTTGTGCTATGATCATATTTTGTATTCTTGTCTTTCATTTTTGCTTATGTGCTTTGTTTTTATGCCATTTTGTTTTTCTTTGTTGACATATTTGTTTGTTTTTATATTGATTAAGATTAAAACACAATGTTGACTGCTGTACACCTATTTTTGACATTTTTCCTATTATGTCTGTTTGTTTGTTCACACATATAATGGAATTTTATGCAACTGTCATACAAGTGAGAGGTTTAGCTAGCTATAAAACCAGGTTTAGTCAACCATTTTCTACATAAGGAAATGCCTGTACCAAATCAGGAATATGACAGTTGTTTTCCATTCAATTGATGTGTTTGAGCTTTTAATTTTACCATTTGATAAGGGACTTTCCGATTTGAATTTTCCTTGGAGTTTGGTATTTTTGTTATTTTACTTTTTTTAACTCCAATTGACCATATTTTGCACTTAATCAACTTAAAAATATACTTACTTCTTTCATTTTTCAGATAAGAGCACAAGAGTTTCTCTTTCTTAAACAGTAAAAATGTTCAGAAAATCTGATGCAAATAAGAACATTTTACCTGTTTCAAGGAGACCAAGAAATTATTCATTTACCTTTTGATGATTACACAAGGCTTGATGTTTGCACATTATACATAAAATAAAATTTAAAAAACATTATACATTTTCTTATAATTCTTATATGATTTGCACATCAACAAATAATGGATTAGAACTTCATTAGAATAGGAATAACTGTACTGTTTTTGTAGAGTTGTCACTGTCAATATGAAACATAGCTAGAAGAATACTGTTATAAGCTATTCCAATAGACTGTTAAAAATCTTAAATGGTCAAGAGCTGCTTACAGGACAATTTAATCTTAAAATATCTCATTGGTCTTTCTAACCTCAAATTTCAATCAAATTAATTTTACCGTACAACTGCGTACAGCTGCTGAATATTTGGGAAAAGATAATGCAGGTAAAATTACAACCATTAAAATGGTTTTAAAGTTGAATTCATCAATATTTGATAGATTTTTGCACCACAAGTCAAATTGTGCAAATTCATTATCTAAGCAATTGTTTACATTTTTTGCAGGTGAGTTGATTTGTTTATTTACTTATCCTGCTGGTCAGTGTATTTTATAGCTTAATTTTTCTACTACACCTATTTTTTTTTATCTCTGTTTTATCCCCCCCTTTTTTAATTTTCATCAAAGCTACTATGTCAAAGGGGTTTATATTTATTTTAACTTCCTGAATTACAAACTTTAATGAGGTTTCCCAAATTTATCTGACATCATTACTTCACCAAGGACTACAGCAGTGTAGTACAGAGAATTTCTTCCTGTACAAACTGTAACAACTAATAATTAAAACACTTCCTCTGTATAATTACCAACTTTCATGTGAACAGTACTATTTGACTAAATATGGTAATTTTTAATAGTTAAGCAGTTGCTGAGTCGTGTTGGAACAAAGAGGGTGTACCCCTTTCCCCACCCCCTTTGATCATTAAAATATTTAATTTTTTTAATAAAATAATCAGCAAACTTTGTTCATCTCATTATTTTTGTTACAACTGATATTTGAAACACAATAAGCTTAAACTCAGTTGCAACAAAAAAAAAAAAAAAAAGAAAATAGGGTTTAATTTTTGTTTCCATTATTCACTTTGTAAAAAAGCTATAATTAAAAAAAAACTTCATCTAGCTCACAATGTAAGAGTATGGTAATGAATATCATTAATACACTTGAAAAAAACCAACAAAAATTACAACACAACAGATAAAAACTAATCTAGTCTTTATCAAAATATTGTACTACATTGTATATGTATTTGAACTTCAATTCGACAAATAAAAATAATCATAGTTTAGATATACATGTATTTCATGACAACCCATGACCCATTTAATACATGCCTAAAAATGATATCTTAATTTGTGAAATTTTTACATATGAAAAACCTTGGATTCATTTTGATGGCAACCTCGGATTTGACATCTATGTAGCTACAAATACCAAAAGTATTGGTGAAGTCAAACAAGATCCATTTCTTTCATATGTCTTATTCCATGTAAAACTAAGTAAATTATATAGACTGACTTACCTCTCTTGTAAAATATTAGCCACTTCTTTACAGAACTCGCTGCCATGTTTTATGTACTTCCTCAATTCTTCAAACCCATTAAGGCTCTGAAATTGAGAAAACAAAATTTTTAATTGAATCAAAATTTATCATTAAAAGCAATTCATTAAGTAAGAAAATATGCTTTTTTCAATGTCCATTCCTTCCTACATCTTTCCTGGATTTTTTTCTTATTCTGTGATGCTGTCATTTATACACTTAAAACACAGAAAATAACACTGGTAATTATTTTCTTTTACTATAGCTATATATAGAAATTAATTGATTAAATTAAAAAGTTTGCCTCTTCATTCACAAATTCATTTTCCACAAAGGAAACTTTTCCACACATCCAATTCATGGCTTGATTCATCTTTTTCAATTTTATATAACAACAGCTACATGTATTTCTGAATTAATCCATGAGTTATAAGTGTTTTCTTCTTATTTTGAAGTGAATTGAGAAAATACCTAATTAAGATTTCCTTATGGAAACGAAACAATGCTATGAAATAGTACGTAGTAATTTATCATCTATATCTGCATACAAATATGGTAAATGTTACATGTATATATATAATGTCAACTAATTCTCTTTTCCAGTAAAACAAGGTTCCATTTCTTAAAGTGGATTAATTTATTTTCGTGGATACCAATACATGTATTCATGGATTGGTGAAATATTCTATTTGCATGAATATTTGATAACGTGGATTTGCCAATGTCTGCATACAACATGTAAAATACTGTAGACAATTTAAAATTCGTTGATTATTTAAATTTGTGGTTTAACTATACCCATGAAATCCACTAAAATTGGTTCACCATGAATAATAATGAATCCACAGGCTTTAGTACACTTTACCTTAGTGCCTTCTCTGATCAAACTAATTGCTGTCACAGCAATTAGTTTCATCAGAGAAGGTACTAAGGTAAAGTGTACTAAAGTCACTTTTAAGGCTTTGATTTTGAATATGAAAAGTGTTGTTCATATCTTTCAGTGGACTATATGGTCTTTGTAAAAAATAGGTATAAGCATATTGCAGCTTCTTTTAAATTGTTTCAACCCTCAAACTATATAACAAGAGTGCACACGCTGAAATGTCTCGCCTTCTTTATTAATCATTGATATTATGTTGATAGTCCTAAATATAAAGCTTTATTACAACTGTCACATAAACTTAACATTAACCAAAAAACTAAACATTGACCAATGAACCATGAAAATGAGGTCAAGGTCAGATGAACCATGCCAGGCAGACATGTACAGCTAACAATTCTTCCATACAACAAATATAGTTGACCTATTGCTTATAGTTTAAGAAAAACAGACCATAACACAAAAACTTAACACTGAGCAATGAACCGTGAAAATGAGGTCAAGGTCAAATAAAACCTGTGCGACCCACATATAGATCATAAAATATTTCCATATACCAAATATAGTTGACCTATTGCATATAGTATTAGAAAAAAAGACCAAAACTCAAAAACTTAACATTGACCACTGAACCATGAAAATGAGGTCAAGGTCAGACGAAACCTGCCAGCTAGACATGTACACCTTACAATCATTCCATACACCAAATATAGTAGACCTATTGCATACAGTATAAGAAAAACAGACCAAAACACAAAAACTTAATTATAACCACTGAACCATGAAAATGAGGTCAAGGTCAGATGACACCTGCCAGTTGGACATGTACACCCTACAGTCCTTCCATACACCGAATATACTAGACCTATTGCTTATAGTATCTGAGATATGGACTTGACCACCAAAACTTAACCTTGTTCACTGATCCATGAAATGAGGTCGAGGTCAAGTGAAAACTGTCTGACGGGCATGAGGACCTTATAAGGTACGCACATACCAAATATAGTTACCCTATTATTTATAATAAGAGATAATTTAACATTACAAAAAATCTTAACTTTTTTTTCAAGTAGTCACTGAACCATGAAAATGAGGTCAAGGACATTGGACATGGAACTGACGGAAACTTCGTAACATGAGGCATCTATATACAAAGTATGAAGCATCCAGGTCTTCCACCTTTTAAAATATAAAGCTTTTAAAAAGTTAGCTAACACCGCCGCCGGATCACTATCCCTATGTCGAGCTTTCTGCAACAAAAGTCGCAGGCTCAACATTAAAATGAAAATTTTGAACAACTGACTCATCTCAGTTTGTATAGGAGCAACAACCTAACAAAAACAAGATATTTTGCTGCAAGACATATATTTCATGTCTTTGAGATTTAAAATCTGTTTGAATAGAAAGATTCATGAACAGCTGATGAAGCAGGCTTTCACAAAATGCAAACTGCATCAATAGTAACAAATTTTCATAGTTCTTAAGGGAAACATATTTGAGGGAAAAAAAATTTGGGTGTGCTCCGAATTTGATATATCATAAACCGTAACTGTACAAAGTTTGTTTAAAATTTGACAAAGGACTCAAAAGTTAATTCCTAAAGACAGACAGACAAGTTGATTCCATTATATTCCTACAAAATTCGTTTTTTGACAGGTATAATAAGTGCATACTTTGATGTTAGTCCAGAGGATGAGTACCATCTCCATAAATCATTTGAAAATTGAGGTATTAAAAGTTCAGACACTCACAAGCAAGAAAGGTACACAACAAAATATATTCAATTTTTTAATCATAAAGCATAAAAAAAAAAATTGAAATAAAACATTTACATGATTACTGAGAAATGATTACAGGTTCAATGATCTGTGTATATAATATCTTTATTGGGGTACTTTTCGTGGTTGTAAGTGGTTATAAGTGAATCATAAATTTAAATGTTCAACAAAATAAAAGTTTCCTATTTAGCTTCTAAGAAAACTAAATATTTCCTAAAAGTTGTAAGATGATAAGTAGAATTTGTTAAAAAACATGAAATCAATTGTTAGTGAAAACAACTTGTTTCTCAATCTACAAAAACTGGTATCAACAAAAATAAAGGAATCAATGGCAGATCTGTTTTATATCAACAAAAATAAAAGAATCAATAGAAGATCTGACTATAAACACTACCTAAGTTCAAATATATGCCTTTTAACTTCTACTGTATTATGTAAAGATCTTAAAGGCTGTTAACCTCTTTTATTTGTGCACAAAAGTGAATAAAGATTGATACTTAGCATCAAATAAAACATTTTGATCGAGACAAACAGTCCTACCTGATTTTCCATTTCTATATACAGGTAAGCAGGAAGTTAGACATATTAGATAGCAGGAAGAAATAGTGTACTTTTACATTGTTTATTCAAAATTCAGGTTATAAATTGTTGAGATTATCAAGGAGTATGTTTGATCGGGCCCCTATATGGCTCCTATTTCAAGCTTAATTTTCAAATTAGGATTGAATGGCAAAAATCAAGATGTACATGATGTATCATATATTTAACAATGACTATATAGGAAATAGGTCCTTTGTAAATTTACATATCAGCTCCCACTTTATGATGTCATAATTAAATGCACCATGCATAAATCAATTTTTTTAACCAAATTCAATTAAAATATGCAAATTTCAATATGTTTTTGGGACCGGAAACATAAAGCACATGCGTCAACATAAAAGATTTTTAAAAATTTATGTTTGTTATAGGAAACTTAATATTTGACTTGAAAATTCAGTTAGCTGTACCCAGCACTATGTTTTCTAGGCCTAATTGTAGTTGGAATTCAGAAGATATTGTTGACTTTCATAAAAAGCTCTACTTTTGACCTAATACTGATGTAACAGGCAAAGATTTGTAAGAGAAACTTGACAAAAATGTCCCATACACTTTTCACATGTATACACATCAACCTGAATATAAAAATAAGGAGATGTGGTATAACTGCCAATGAGACAACTATCAACCACAGTTAAAATGAAGTGGTGTAAGCATTTATGGGCAACCGTACAGCCTTCAGCAATGAGAAAAACACATGCCGTATATTGAAGCATTTTTCATCTTGAAATAAATATAATTCATCAGTAAATATTGAAAAAAGGAACCCTTAAAAACTCAACCACCGATTTCAGATAACCAACTTCTGCTTTATAATTCTCTAAACTAAGAATAAATTCTTGAATTTTTCAAAATTAGCAAACTGTTATACCTTGGTTTGAGACACATTATAAAAGCACCAATAAAACTTTCCATTTCTTAAAAGTAGCAAACAACACCAATGGGCTTATTAAAATCAGAGACATATAATACAATATGTAATCTCTGTTAAGATATAAGTCTAATACATAGTTGGTTTCACATCAAGATCTCTTCCAGAATCAAGTTTACTGAACATTAAACTCATCAACCTATATATATCCTTTACCCCCTTAAGCTTCTTTGACTTCACCTGCCTCCATCCCAATCCAAGCCCAAAAAGTGATAGTAAAAATCATTTCCCCCTCATAACCAAATGTATGTATCATGTTATTAAGATAGCTAGCAAGTATTCATAATTCTACACACTTACAAGTATTGAATATTTTTACCTGATGATCAGTACAAACATGATTAATACTTCAAGTGTACAATTACAGCACTATCTTAACATTGCTTAATTACCTGTGTTATATCATTTAATCCATAAGGGGATTTCATTCCTCTAATCCAGTTTTGAACTGATTCTGGGAAGAAACTTCTCTGTCTCTGTAGAGGACGATTCCTAGGAGGGTTACATATGTGGCAATGTTTACAGAAAGGATGGGTATTACTCATTGTATTTTAACAACTTCAAAATGGAATATTCCAAAAAACAATCATCTATTTCAAAATAGATTTTACACTAATCGAAAACATGTGATTTGCAACAGATCTAGAACACGGATTTGTTGATTGAAATATAACAGAATTTTCACATTTTCGTTTCTGATCAAATTTTCCAAAAAATGCTAACTCCTATCATGAAAGTTAAACACCCATTTTTCATTACTGTAATAAAATCCAAATCTGTGTAAGTTATAGCTTCCTAAATCATTAAATCCCACTTTTTTTCAAAATATTCAGCGTCTATGTCATGTATGTATAAGCATCAGAATTATAGAATAAAAATATTATATTCACTATATTGTTGAAACATTTATCTATAATGTTGAAATGTTGTATATGCCAGTTTCATCAATCAAAAACTGCCAGGACAAATATTTTCAAAATGCCTTTCTTTGTATTTATGGAATTGCAGTTTATAATACTATCCAAGTATAATCACAAATTGCGATCTTCTCGTCTACACTATGTGGTATTGACAATTTTATTCCGACATTATAATTCATATATTGATCTTGATATTGTCCACATTTTTTTAGGTTTCACAGTTAGGATTAGAGTCATTTCCAGGACAGCAGACATCTTGCAAACTCATAAATTCTGTCACCATATCCCCCTACATACACATCAATAAGAATTAATAATTTCCAATCAATTAGAAAAAATATGAATAGCCGATCATCAGAAAAGTCAAATACATTGTACATGAAATGACCCGAGGGACACAACTTAATTACAGGAAAAGTCTGAAGATTTTGGTTAGATATCAGAAATAAACAGAAAACTTTATTATGTAAAACATAAGCCTACAGGTTGTTTTATACATCATAACATCACAAAAAAAGTGCCACAATGTTAATCAAACTAATTGGCAATGATTGTAATAAAGGCTCCTAAGGGGGTATTGTTATCCTTTGAAAAACAACTATTAAAGACATTATATATTTATCATTATTCTTGCGATCAACAAACAGTCACAAATCATCATGCCTAGTGACAGACTAAAAAGAACCAATACCATATTTCTACTAAAATAAAACTGATCATTCTACATCAGTTCTACAGGGTTTACATAGACACAAGTTAAAATCTATGCTTGAAAATGCTTCAATATATTCTTCAAATTCCTACATTAGTAATGAAATATTCCCAGTATCACTGAGACCAACAATTTTTTCTTTTCTTTTGGCAAATGACTAAAGTATTCAACTCTTAACCCTTCATAACTTCAAAGATGGAATACCTTCAGACCCTGTATGCACATTATAAGACATTATTTTATCTCTACAACGAGAAGATAACAGATAAATATTTACACAATCAAAGCATTATTTTCTTTAATATTTTAGACAGTATGTAATTAATAGCAACTATACATTGGCAGTATCTTTTATTTTTAACAGAAAGTTTACATCAGAATATCCCTGTAAACACATTCAAAATTACAGGAAATTCTATATTAAGAAAAGCAGGTATTTCAGGCAAAACTCTTTAACTGAGAATTCTTCTATGTACCTGACCTTATACCACTGATCAAGAAAACTGAGGGAGATTAAATACATTGTAAATAAAATAAATGGGGAATGTGGCCAGGGGACACAGATGATGCCCCCGCTTGCATATCATATAAAGTTATAAAGGGACATAACTGAAGAACAGTAAAAGTGACACTACCCAAATTTGTACTTGATCTGAGTTTTGTGGTAATAAGTATTGTGTATAAGTTTCATAACATTTGGTTGAGGCATTCTTAAGTTAGAGAACGGAAACGAAAAAATTCAGCATTTTTTCCATTTGTAAAGGACATAACTCTAGAACAGTAAAAGTGACACCACCAAAATTCAAACTTGATCTGTATTTTGTGGTAATAAGCATTATGTATAAGTTTCATAACATTTGGTTGAGGCTAACTTAAGTTAGAGAACAGAAACCAAAAAATTCAGTGATTTTTCCATTTGTAAACAGGCATAACTCTAGAACGGTAAAAGTGACACCACCAAAATTCAAACTTGATCTGATTTTTGTGGTAGTAAGCATTGTGTATAAGTTTCATAACAATTGGTTAAGGCAAACTAAAGTTAGAGAACGGAAACGAAAAATTCAGCAATTTTTCCATTTGTAAAGGGGCATAACTCTAGAACGGTTAAAGTGATGCCACCAATATTCAAACTTGATCTGTGTTTTGAGGTAATAAGCATTGTGTATAAGTTTCTTTAAATTTGGTTGAGGCAAACTTAAGTTAGAGAACGGAAACCAACTTTGGGACGTACGGACGAACAAGGGTAAAACTTAATGCCCCCTCCGCTACGGCGGGGGCATAAAAACCATACTCTGACTAAAATATAAGTGATTTTGTCCGTTAAGAATTTGTTGTTGAAAGCAGATCTTTGGTAGTCTCTGCTAAGTTCATTTACAACTCATCTATAGACATGATAGACTCTGGTGACTTAGAGCAGGTGTCATATGTTCAATTTTCCATGGTGGGGTCAAAATACCATGGATAAGTAAAAGTGTAAAAAACTCTTTCACAAGACCTATTATTCATACTTTTTAGAGCATAATAACAACATAAAGTTCTTTAAATAACTATGATGATTTGATGATCTAACATCTTTTATCATGTTAATTGGGGGGGGGGGGGGGGGGGTTAAATTTTCAATGGTAAAAGTGGAGGGGGGGGTCAAAATACCATGAATTGTAAATGAATTAAAACATCTTGTCCAAGGCAACATCTTTCATTATACCATGTATACCAAATACTTATTGGAGCATTGTTACAATATGAGGCAGTTTGTATAACTATGATTTGAAAATCTGAGGTCTCTAAGATGGTGGGAGCAGTTTTCCATGGTAGGGGGTTAATATACCAGGGCTAATTAAAAATATTAAAACATCTTTTCCAACATGTTTTATTCTTACCAAATACATATACACAAGATATTGGCCTGTGCCTTCTACCTGTACTATAATCCATAATACTATTAATGAGGCTTGCAGTTTATTGGCACGTCAGGTAAAAAACAACTACTGCATCTTTCTAGATGCCAACAAAGTAACAAAATATGTACTTTAATCCATGTTAACAGTAAAATTTTTAGATACCTTGGCTCTTTGTATGATCTGTACTGAAATTTGAACTTAAGATTTAACAGTAAGATTTTGGGTTCATTCTGAGACTGTTCTATAAATAGTGCATCACAAATTTTGGTAATGATTTACACTAGGAAGGTTTTTTCATTTTAGCATTTTAGTCATAAACTTACTGCTTATCATGCTTATCATTGAAGTAAATTTGCAAGCTCTTAAATAAATGGAGAATGTATCCATGGGACACAGATGATGCTCCCGCTTGCATATAACATTATAAAGGGACATAATTAGAGAACTGTATAAGCCATGCCACCCAAAACTCGATCCGTGTTTTGTCCTAATAGGCATTGTGTATAAGTTTCATAACATTTGGTTGAGGCAAACTTAAGTTAGAGAATGGTAACAAAAAAAATCAGCATTTTTTCCATTTAAGAAGGGCATAACTCCAAAACGGTAAAAGTGACGCCACCCAAATTCGAACTTGATCTGAGTTTTGTGGTAATTATCATTGTTTATAAGTTTCATAACATTTGGTTGAGGCAAACTAAAGTTAGAGAACGGAAACCAATTTCGAGACGCAAGTATGTACAGACGGACAAGGGTAACACTTAATGCCCCTCCGGTGACGGCAGGGCATAAAACCTTATCAATACAATTAATATGAATAAAAGAAGGTATGTGGTATTTGTCAATGGGACAGCAACTAAACAAGAATAATAACCAAAAGACATCTAGAGGGCAACAAATTTATTTATTTTGTAAAAAATATTTCCGTACTCCTAACAACAAAATTATTATATTTAAATTTACCTATGTACGTTATTTTATTTAACACCATTTTGTCCTAGGTTATAGTTTTCTTTTTAACATTGTTTTATATCTTCTTTATTAACATTGTATTTATATAGTGTCATAGATCAAATTTATTTGTTCAGTGTATGTTTACTTGTTTTTGTTGTCTTTTTGATCGAGTTAAGCCATTTCAATTGATATTTTATAGTGTGTCTTTTTATGTTGTAATGTTACACTACTGTTTCAGGTTAGGGTGAAGGTTGGCGCCTGTTAAAAGGTTTAAACCCGCTGCATTTGTATGCACCTGTCCTAAGTCAGGAGCCTGTTGTTCAGTGGTTGTAGCTTATTGATGTGGTTCATAAGTGTTTCTCGTTTCTCGTTTTTTTTTTTTAGACCATTGGTTTTCCTGTTTGAATTGTTTCACACCAGTCATTTTGAGGCCCTTTATAGCTTGCTGTTCAGTAAGAGCCAAGGCTCCTTGTTGAAGGCTGTACTTTGACCTATAATTGTTTACTTTTTACACATTGTGACTTGGATGGAGAGTTGTCTCATTGGCACTCATACCACATCTTCTTATTTGTATTAAACAATAGTCTATCATTTGTCTATAGAAATAATAAAATTCTGTCAATAAATTAACTGCTTATTTAAATATATTTATCAAATACTAGCTGTCAGAATATTCAAATGGTCAACTGATAATCTAGGAAAAACTTTCATTTTCTTTAAATTTTTAATGAAATACATAATATATATGTCATATGCATGTATGTCATCTGTTAACTTTCATTATACATGTATAACAAGACTGGAAAAATTTACATGTCTTCACTCCTCAATTAATTCAAACTAAATATGTTTACAGTCTGAGATTTACAGGCAGGTTTCATTGTGTGTATTAATAAATCTTGATGTTGCTCAGGTGACTCCTGCCAGATATACATACATGTATTTATGCCTCTTGCTTGGGGGAAAGTGCATACCTCTGCAAATTAAAATGAACCCTTAAAACAATACAATTCTTTTTCCTGTGGTGGTATTTTCCATTGCCAATC